TGAATTTTACGTTGTTTACTGTGTCTCCCCCTACTGCAATGGAAGCCTCACGAAGGCAGGATTTTGGCATGTTTTGTTCACTGCTCTTACTTCCCAAGACTTAAAAAAGCGAAGAGCACATTTAAATATCTGTTGAATGTATAAATAAACTATAGCTTCACCACAACGTAGACTTAAATATTTCAGAACTAAAGTCATGTAAATCAAATCAGCAGTTGATGGCAGAGCCTCCCACACCTCCCACAAATGAGAAAACCAGTGAATGCTGTTCTTAAAATAGTGGACTAGAGACCAAGTGGAAATCACAGGTTTTGCTTTTTAATATCAAATCTCTGAGCTATTTACACAATCACTACCTCTACAATTAACAGCCATTCAACAGCAACAACATTTAGCAGTTGAGTTCTTCCCAGTATAATTTAGTTGCTCCAAAAAATTTTTTTTAAGATTTTATTTTTAAGGGGAACCTGGATGGCTCAGATGGTAAAGTGTCTGCCTTTGGCTCTGGTCATGATTCTGGGGTCCTGGGATCAAGCCCATATTCAGCTCCCCACTCAGTGGGGAGTCTGCTTCTCCTTCTGTCCCTTTCCCCCGACTTGTGTTCTCTCTCTCTGAAATAAATAAAATCTTAAAAAAAAAAAAAAGATTTTCTTTTTAAGTAACCTCTACACCCAATGCAGGGCTCAAATTCAGAACCCTAAGATCAAAGAGTTGCATGCTTCACCAAATGAGCCAGCGAGGTGCCCCCAGTTGCTCCAAGTCTTTTAAAGAAAAAAGTCAACTTGATTTCTTTCCCTTCAAAGTTGACTGGCCCAGGTTTCCCTCTTCTTCTACCTTTTAGATTTGAGAAGGAGGAGAGTGGAGAAATAAGAGAAACACAATTTAAAAAAAAATTTTTAAATCATACAATTTTTCAGTGCACTGATCTGAATTCACTCTGATTTAGGACTAGAAACAAGTTTCAGTCTGCAGCAACTCAAGTTCGTTCTTTCTACCTTGCCAGCAAGATATCACCACCTCCATGTTTCCAGGACACATCACACTCCGCAGGTCCAAAATCCACCCAGTTTCTCACAAACCTATTCAGGAGTTCCCTCTTTATTATAAGGAAAAGCACCACCATCCTCTCATTACCCAGTCATCCTGGAGTCCTCCTTTCTCATCCCCCACAATCTCCCTCACTGGTTGCTAAATCCTTATTCCCCAGACTCCTTTCCCACTTGGAAGACCCTGAACTATTGTATGGGTTTAACAGACATCCCTGGTAGCGGTTTCTCCCAATTATATTATCTCTCCAAGCATAGCTCTGTCATGGTACTTGCTCCTCCATCATAAACCTTCCACGAAACTGAAGGTGAGAAGTATGCCCTTGTTTCAACCCTGGACAAGACTCTACCACAACTTTCTCCATCAAGATGCTTTGTAAATTCCTGTTTCTGACAAAAGTAAGCCCTATCATCATAGACCCTTCATGATCTATCTCCACCTACCACAGCTAAACTTACTCCTCAATGATTCCCCTGCAGCCCCCTCCCCTCCTTCATTCTCAGTTTCCTTTACCTAGAAGGTCATCCTGCCCTCTTAACTAGAATTGTTGAGTCATAAGGTAGAAATGTTTCCCTTTTAAAGAAACTGCCAGACTATTTCTAAAGTGGCTGCACCATTTTACATTCCTACCAGCAATATAGTAGGGTTCCAGTGTCTCCACATTCTCACTAACACCTGTTGTCTATCTTTTGATTTTAGCAGGTGTGAAGTGATATCTCACTGTGGTTTTGATTTGCATTTCCCTAATGACTAACGATGTTGAGCCTCTTTCCATGTGTTTCTTAACCTCAATTTACTTTGACTTAGGACACAAAAAGATAAGGAAAATGCTTTTCAATCAATCACTGGAAAATACAATTACTTGCCATCAAGTTGATTTATAAAAATCTACCTGTACCATTGTGAGAAAACTAGTTTTTCCATATCAGGTTATTCAATGCATGTTAGGTTATTTACTTTACATAACACTGGAAGTTATAAATATCTACATTTTACAGGGTGCTAATGTTTCCAAGAAAGGAAAAACTGAAGTGCTCCTAACTGCCAAAGCCAGAACACCTGGTTTGGGGGATGCCTGACACAAGCACTCCAAAATCTACATATAAAACCTACACATCACTTCTTTCGACGCAGAGTTAGAAATCTTAAGTAACTAAGAAGATTACATTCTCAAGAGAAATTCCATTTAAGAGGCACTAGAAATCTGAATGCCCTACCTGTACCACACGCATCTCAGGATAATCTCTGCTCTGGGAGCCAATTTAATTTCAATATATGTTAGTTTCAGTCAAAAATTTTACTTCCTTGCGAAATCGCAAAACCTAGATGATGCTAAAATTCTATTTTAAAAACATCTACAGGCTGCCTGGGTGGCTTAGTCAGTTAAGTGTCTGCCTTCGGCTCAGGTCAGGGGATCAAGTTTGGCATGGAGCTCCTTGCTCAGCAGGGAGCCTGTTTCTCCCTTTGCTTGCAGCTCCTCCTGCTTGTGCTCTCTGACAAATATGTAAAAAATAAAAGAACGTCTACAACCACAAACAAATCAGTTGTGATATAGTCACACAATGAAATCCTACACAGCAATAAAAGGAGTTACTACTACATGTAACATGAATGAACCTCAAAAATATTGATGGGGGAAAAAAGGCCCTACACAAAAGAGTACTGTGTGGTTCCATTTACGTGAAATTCAAAAACAGCAAAAACAGTTTATTTATAAGAGTCACAAGAGGAAGGTGGACAGGGATAGGGAAGGGAACTTCCTAGAGGTGATGGAATGTCCTATATGTTAACAGGGGTATGGGTTACAGTGTATGCACTGGTCAAAACTCATTAAACTGAAACATTTATGATCAGTGCACTGAAAAATACGCTTCTTCTATAGAAATAAATATGACAGAAATAGCTATTCCCCTGTAATCTGCAAAATAAATAAATCACTGTTGACAACTTCTTCTTCAGACCTCATTACCAACTTGGCTTCAATGACACCACACTGGTTTCCCTTCTAATCCTGGTTTGTTCTTTTGATAAATGTTCCTCCTCTACCCTCCCCTTCATGTTTCTGTAGTCTAATCACACTCCCACCTTTCTTTCCTATATGCTCCCCGGGTGATCTCCCCACCACAGCTTCTACTACCAACTATAGGCTGAAGACACCCAAACCTATTAAATTCCATACTCCTAAATCCAGCTACTACCTGACATGACATCATCACAAGTTCAACATTCATAAACCTGGACCCTTCCTCCCGAATCCCCAAAACCTGCCCTGTCTTAATTCTTTTTAGAGATTTTATTTATTTGACACACAGAGAGGAAGAGCACAAGCAGGGGGAGCAGCAGGCAGAGGGGAAGGGAGAAGCCGTCACCCTACCGAGGCGAGAGCAGGACTGGATGACTGGATCCCAGGGTCCTGAGATCTTGACCTGAGCTGAAGCCAGACACTCAAACGACTGAGCCACCCAGACACGCTTATTTTAGTTAATATTAACAGCACATCTAATCTTAGACTAAAATCACTTTTTTTTAAGATTTTATTTATTTATTGGACAGAGAGAGAGATCACAAGTAGACAGAGAGGCAGGCAGAGAGAGAGGAGGAAGCAGGCTCCCCACTGAGCAGAGAGCCCGATGCGGGGCTCGATCCCAGCACCCTGGGATCATGACCTGAGCCGAAGGCAGAGGCTTAACCCACTGAGCCACCCAGGCGCCCCAACTAAAATCACCTTTTAAAAAGATTTTATTTGAGGAAGACAGAGAGCAAGCGCATGAGCGGGAAGGGTGGGATGGAGAGAGAGAGAAGACTCCCCACTGAGCAGGGAACCCGATTCCGGACTCGATCCCAGGACCCCGAGATCACGACCTGAGCTGAAGTCAGACACTTAACCAACTGAGCCACCAAGGCAACCCTGAAATCTCTTTAAACATCATTCCTGTTTGGGCAAGTTACTGTGTCCCCCAGAAAGGAGGAGGTAACAACAGAGCATCCCACCTGGGATCCTTACTATTGGATTCCAGCTTGAATATTTCACCAACTGCATATTTCACCAACCATTCCCACACTTCTGAGGACAGGAATGAACACGATGGTATCTCACACTCAACTTCTGAAGAATTAGCTACCTATCACCTGCCAGTACCAACCACCTGCCAAAGACTACTAATGACGTGACAAGACACTTCATTTAACCTGTACTAAAGCTGCCCTAGATGAAACTAAGCTCACAAAAAATTAAGTAACCTGATAAAGGTCATAAAAATAAAATGGCAAAGCCGGGATGTTAGCTCTTACTAAGAGTCTACAACTGAGTCCGAAATTCCCAACCAACAAAATGAGTGAAATCAGATTACTTTTTAGACTCAAATAGCTGCAGTCAACCATTTTACAGCTGAGAAGCGTTTAAGGTCGTTGCACATAATTGCCCAGATTCAATTGGACATTTGAAAGATCCCATTAAGTTCCTCAGTTCTGATCATACAGCCTCTCCTGCCCTTATACTTCCCTCGGTGCTGTCATCCCAGCTCTCCAACCTCGTGCTTTGATGCGGCTTTGGGGGCTAGGAAGTGGGGATAACAGTAGAGCACTGCGGGGACCAAAAGTGGAACCTCCTTAAATAGGACAAAGTCTAACTTCAGACTCTTGCCAGGTCGCATTCTGGGCCACGCCGACCCCACAAGCCACCCCACGACCCAGAAGCAACGACCTCGGAGGTCACCTTGACCCCAACTAAGTGCCAGGCCCAACTGCCGCGCCGGACCAGCCCGGCTGGGGAAGCAGCTACAGAATGAGCGGCTCTACGGCCGCTGCAAACAAACGTGGAGAGGGGCCGGGACGAGGGGGGCGAGCCAAACCGAACCGCAGGCAAAAATCCCAGCCGCCTCCGGCCTCACGACTTCCAAGCGCAAAGGCTCGGGCGGCCGCTTCTGTCCGAGACGGCCCGGCGCTACCGGTACCTGCGGGCTATAGGCGTCGGAAGCCCATGTTCCGGTCAACTTCTGCGTGAAGCCACTAAACTTGTAATACATGACGCCCGGTATCCGGCTTCCCGCAGCCGCTGCCTGCGCGACTGGCCCAGAGAAGGACCCTGTCTTCCCTGACGTCGCCTGAAGTCTCAGCCCAAGGACCCTGCGCCAGGAGACGGGCTGCCCAGAGAGCGCCTAATTTATAACATGCCCTCTTCAGCCATATCAGGGAGCAAGAAGCCGGAGTGCCAGAACCAAGAAGGCAAAAAAACAGCTCTAGGAGAGCTCAGAAAGCCACCGTAGCGGGGTCTGTAGAAAGCACGAAGTTCCCGCCCCCGCCTCGCACACATTTTTTGATTCGGGCAATGCCGAGGCGCCGCAAGGAATGCGCAAGCTCCCTGCGAATCAGGCCCAGGCGAAAGGACTTGACAGGACCAAGTGGGGCGGACCTGGGGCGGGGCATAGGGTGGGGCCTGGGGCGGAGGTCTGAGGAGGGGCGTGGAGAGCTAGAGTTGAGGGGTCACCCAGTTGGGCCTTGGGTGGAAGGCTTCTCTTCATTTAGCAAACTTGCACAGAGTCTGGTTTCTTTTCTCCCCTCCGTAGGTCGCCTGGTGAAGCGCCTCGCTCTCACTCAGTCGGAGTATGGACCCATTGGCCAGGCTTCTCCATCAACCTGGGAGTAGGGGAGCAGATCAGAAGATGTGGAATCTTCTGCTGAGAGCTTTTTAGTACAGAGGGTTGTTAGCGGTTTCACCCCAGGAATATAAAGATAACTTCTTGGGTTTTGTGCTCGCTCGCTCTCGCGCGCGCTCTCTCTCTCTCTCTCGCAAATAAATAAAATCTTTTAAAAATTATAAATATCACATGAACCAATAATTCCATTAGTATTACCCAAAGAAAACAAAAACACTATTTCATAAAGATATGTGTGCACCCCTGTTTACTGCAGCATTATTTACAATATGCAAGATATGGAAGCAACCTAAGTGTCCGTCAATAGACAAATAAGGAAGATGGTGGTGTGTATGTGTGTGTGTAGATAAACAGATATAATGGAATATTACAGAACCATAAAAAAGAATGAGATCTTGCTATTTGTGACCTCATGGATGGAACCAGAAGGTATTATGCTAAGTGAAATAAATCAGACTGAGAGAGACAAATACCACACGATTTCATTCATAAGTGGTATCTAAAAAATATTGAGGGTTCCCGTGTGGCTCAGTTGGTTAAGCGTCTGCCTTTAGCTCAGGTCATGATCTCAGGGTCCTGGGATCAAGCCCCTCATCTGGCTCCCTCCTCAGCAGGGAGTCTGCTTCTCCCTCTGCCTGCCTGCTCCCCCTGCTCATGTTCTTTCTCTCTCTCTATTTCTCTCTCTCTCAAACAAATGAATAAAATCTTTTAAAAAATTAAATAAATAAAATCTTAAAAATTGAATAAGCCAAGAAAAAGCAGAATCAGACCTATAAAGACAGAGAACAAACTGGTGGTTGCCAGAGAGAAGAGGTGGTGGGTGGGTGGGGGGCTAAATAGGTAAAGAGGAGTGGAAGTTACAGTTACAGTAACGTATTCCAGTTACAGAATGCGTAAGTCACAGGAATAAAAGGCACAGCATAAGGAATATAGCAATGATATTACAATAGTGATCTTTTGGAACAGACAGTAGCTACACTTGCAGTAAACATAGCATAATATACTAACTTCTTCAATTGTGATGTTGTGCACCTGAAACTAATATAATATTGTGTGTCAACTATACGCAAATAAAAAATAATAATGAAGGTGTTTTTTAAGTACTTTTTTTTTTTAAGTACAGTACCTCTATTATGTGCAAGGTACTGTAGGAAAGGAGTAAACCAGTTTCCTACTTCCTGGAATGGAGCACAGCTTTTCTTAGCTTTATCATCAAACTAGAGGTTTTCACAAGTATATTATGATGAATTTATGAAAGCAGGTGGAAAACCAATAGATGATACTAACTTTTACATAGTATTTCCCACAAATAAACTCATTTAATCTTTACAACAAGCCTATGGGGCAAGTGCTATTACTATCTTCATCTTTATTATCTTTATCTTCATTACCTTCATCAAAGGCCCAGAAAAGTCCCTTGCCCAGGTCAGCTCCTAGCAGCAGAGCTAGTCATCCGGCTCAAAATCTGTACTCTTTAGCACTACATTATAGAGAAATAGACATAAATTCATTCTGAAGAGGCTGAAGGCTGAATGTTCCAGATCTAGGGTCCACACCAGCATCCTGACTTTGCCAGGTGTAAGCCCAAGAGCCGCAAGTGTTCAGCATTGCCACTACTCGGAGGAGCAAAGGTTTCAGGCGTATTCATATGATCAGCCCAGCCAAAGTCGTGTAAAAGTGTAAAAGTTGCTTTTACAAAGCAACATTGCCCTATAGTAGAAAAAAAGATACAATATGGGTTTGAGTTGCAGTTTCTTCAAGGCTGAGCGATCTGCAACTTGTCATTTCCATTTTCAGAGCTTCATTTGCCTCTTCTGTAAAGTAGGAATCATCATCATCATCTTTCCCTCCCTAGTGTTCTGAGAATCAACAGTTCAGTAATTTATAAAGCTTAAACAAATGTTAACTTGCTGATCTTACCTTTTAGTCATTTTACCTTTTTTCTTTTTTTTTTTAAGATTTTATTTATTTATTTGACAGACAGAGATCACAAGTGGGCAGAGAGGCAGGCAGTGGGGGGGGGGGAAGCAGGCTCCCTGCCGAGCAGAGAGCCCAATGTGGGGGTCAGTTCCAGTACCCCGGGATCATGACCTGAGCCGAAGGCAGAGGCTTAACCCACTGAGCCACCCAGGTGCCCCATCATTTCACTTTTCCATAGCTCTTGATGATATGTAGAAGTCTTTTCTTGATTAATTTAAGTTCAGCAATCAATCAATTAACAGTTTAATTAATTAATTTTAAAATGCTGGAATCACTCATACCAAGAAAGGGATATAAGCTTGCTAACAGATACTAGGTGAAAGGAAAGGGTTTTCATAGAGTTTAGATTGAAAAGAGGAATTAAATGATTTAGGACAGCTCTTCGCTTCCCTTCTACTGTCTTCTGGGCATATATTGGAAAATGAAAGCAGAGAACATTCCCCAACTTTTAGCAGCACTGAGGTGTACCAGCTTCTTGAAGTATAAAGGTGCCTGTCAACATTGGTTATTTTCCTAAAGTTCCTGCCATCTGATTTTAGATCCTGCAAGACATAAATTAAGAATCCTGAAAATGTTACAACAGCCGGGCTGTTCAGTGGGAGGTAAAATGTCAGTAGCAGAGTGTGGGTTGGGATGTCACATGGAGTGGCTGATCATAGGAAGATTTTGTCTCATTTCTCAAATAAAACCCAGCGCTCTGACAGCCCTGAACCAGCTATTCTCATTCTTATTTGCATATCCCACTCAGCATCAATGCATGATCTTTCTTTATCATGATCCCTTCAGGTTGTTCCCCATCCTCTTCGGAGGGGAAGTGACCACAGTTCCCGGGGCAGAGAAGCTTGTCAATTGCCAAGTGATTGCGAGTGAGCGCAAACGCTGGTCTGGCTCTGGGTGAATCAGACTGCAGGGCCATGTCTCCATTTGGGAGGACCATGTGCTAATGGGGTCTGGCAGGCGGCAATCTGAGAGCACTCCGGAGTGGATGGAAGACCAATATAAATTTTAAACTGCTTTGTACTGAATATAAATAGGAACTGCCTCTATGTGAAATAGTTCTTAATTTTTTTTAATTCTCTAATTTTCCGAGAATTGGCTTTTTAAAAATTAACGTGCGGTGGGTCTGGCCGAGTTAAAGCATGTAGGCATTGCAGTCGTTGAGGTCATTGTGGGCTCCTCTCCCTGATTTCTTCCATCCTTCCCTGTGTTCAGAAGGGCTCGTATGTCACCTGGCTTTGGTGTTGCCGGTGGGAAGCAGAAATACAAGTCATGAGCATTCATTCTGGGCTGCTTTACCATCGGGAGGGTGTCTCTACAATACAGGCCTCCAGGAAGCCCTGCTTTCCCCCACTTTACTGTTTCTTCCTTTGCTGCCAAATCTGCAAACTAGAGAACGTTTCTCCCCTGGGGAAACATGTTTGTGCTTGTGGATTTTGCCCATTCTAAGGTAGTTTGCCTGGTGGAAAATGGACTATAATAGCGTCATGTGTTTTTTATTGTGGCTTTTCTCTATCCTCTCTTTGGCAAAAAGGAAGGCAGAGGAGAAACGTTTTCCCAGCATTTGAAACTGCTAGTGATAGCCCCGAAGACAAGCACCCCCTCCCCCGCCCCCGGTAAAATATTGGAAAATAAAATGGAGAGCTACACACATGTTATGATTTTTCAGAACGATGACACCTGTCATGCAATTATTTGGTAATTTTCATGGAGCAGACTAGAAATCTCAGCTGTCATCTCTTAGGCTTTGTGTCCAATAAAGCCCTATCTGGTGTGCAACTTTGTCTTTGAAACCTGAAATCTAGCTTGTATCGATATTATTGAAAAAGAATTAAAGCTTTGTTAAGGCGTGGTGTTTTTTCACAGAAGGAGTCGAGGGTCAGGATGGCATATTCCTCACCCGAAGGAAGGGAAATGGCAGCTGAGGCTTGCAGGTGCTGGGACAGCTTTATTGCAGGACAGGCTGACCATACTGACATCAATTCCCTGCTCTGACCTTCTCGGTGGTGAATGTCAATATGGTGCCTGAAGCCGCCTCACTTCTGCCCGCCTGCTTTTCCTTATGTGCAAGTCAAAAGCACATCCACAGAGATTATGGATTTAACTCAATTTTGACACATCCCGTTTCATCTCACTGGTGAAGAAAGGCTGAGGTGTGACTCATAATTTATTTTAAAGCATTTTAAATACACTTAATTATGCATAGGAAAAAAGTTGAAATCCAAAACAAGACTCCTGCAACTTTCTATTCACATCCTCTATACACATTTAGCATGGATGAACGTGATGTTGTTCCTGTCCATGCAATGGGAGGATTCGCCTTCTCCAGCGTGGGTCGGAGGGTCGTTCCTAACTACTGGAGAGTCTCACTCTCTGGCTCATGTGTGTCTGCAGTGTTGTAATATTTTACAATGAGCATGCATGACCTTTTGAAGTCCATACAGACATAGACAAATAATATGAAGCCCCCAAAAGTCATAAATATTAAATTTTTTTAAAGATTTATTTATTAGAGAGAGAGAGAGAGAGAGCACTCAGAGGGAGAGGGAGAAGCGGAACCCCTGATGAGCAGGGAACCCAATGTGGCACTCGATTTTAGGACGCTGGGATCATGACTTACGCTGAAGGCAGACG